AAGTATCTTATTACTTTTTCCAGACGGTGCAGGGTCTTTTCAACTCAACAAGTTTCTGTCGGTACATGGTGGAAAATCACGTCAAGACCGTTGAATGTAACGAAACACACCTGTTACGGCCATTCAGCTTTAACGGAGCTGGTGTGACAACCAATGTCACGTAAGTACCTATTTACACATGTAGCGCGTGACTTGTCTTCCTATAATGTCGCTTAGTATACGATCCTGAGGGTAGAATAAATTTATGTTCATGAAGGTGAAATCTCTTTCGTTATTTCTTTCCACAGTTTGAATTTGACGTTGGAGTCGACCCAGAGACTTCGTTTCCCTGACTACGAATCTAGAGGTAACGTAGTTGTATTTCAATCATGCAAACTAAAGGATGTCAAATCTCCAAGCATAGCCCATCATATATTCGAATAAATTCGCAGCGCGAGAGCAGTCAAATGCCTAGTTTTTATTACAATTCCTTTTGGCTTTGCTATATTTCATTCGAGCTCCTGCACAGTTTTGAACATTTTTGAAATCGGTTGCAACAGCTCTATAATGGTCAAAAACTATTTCTTGTATAACAGAATCTCCTCAAAACTTTCATCAAATAGTATTGACCGCCAAGTAGAGTTACTTTTATTCTTTCATCCAACAGAGACACGAAAGTCCAACTTGTTGTACGAGCACATTGCTCCAGAAAACAGNTCAGTTCATGTCAGTAAGTTTGAAGTGACACAATAAAGCATAGCTTGAACAAGTATCTTATTACTTTTTCCAGACGGTGCAGGGTCTTTTCAACTCAACAAGTTTCTGTCGGTACATGGTGGAAAATCACGTCAAGACCGTTGAATGTAACGAAACACACCTGTTACGGCCATTCAGCTTTAACGGAGCTGGTGTGACAACCAATGTCACGTAAGTACCTATTTACACATGTAGCGCGTGACTTGTCGTCCTATAATGTCGCTTAGTATACGATCCTGAGGGTAGAATAAATTTATGTTCAGGAAGGTGAAATCTCTTTTGTTATTTCTTTCCACAGTTTGAATTTGACGTTGGAGTCGACTCAGAGGCTTCGTTTCCCTGACTACGAATCTAGAGGTAACGTAGTTGTTTTTCAATCATGCAAACTAAAGGATGTCAAATCTCCAAGCATAGCCCATCATCTATTCGAATAAATTCGCAGCGGGAGAGCAGTCAAATGCCTAGTTTTTTTACAATCCCTTTTGGCTTTGCTATATTTCATTCGAGTTCCTGCACAGTTTTGAACATTTTTGAAATCGATTGCAACATTTCTATAATGGTTAACGACTATTTCTTGTATAACAGAATCTCCTCAAATAGTATTGTCCGCCAAGTAGAGAAGAATAATCGGAAATATCTTTTCGTTAATTTTATTCTTTCATCCAACAGAGACACGAAAGTCCAACTTGTTGTACGAGCACATTGCTCCAGAAAACAG